GTACGTATCTTTGAGACTCCCAATTAGACAGCTATAACTAAGTAAATAAATTTAATTGGATATAAAGATATTAATGAAAATAATATCTCCATTCAAAACATAAATTTACTCATAATAATTAACTTTAACAAGTTTATGATTATGGAATGCAAAGTCGAGCGAAAATAGGAGTTTGTAAATACTAAATTAAAAGTCTTTATAAATAATATCGACCTTGGAAGCATAAATAATGCTGATTCTAAAAGCAAAAACATAAAAAACTTATAAATTTTGGAACTACTGAACAAACTCTTAACATTGAGAGACGAATTCGCATATGTTGTAATAAAAGTGGCAATTGAACTAGGAACACTCTATCGGCCTACTTGATTACGACTTATTTGATTATTGCTTACAAACTATAGGTTGATATTGTTTGAGTGTTTGAACTAAAAGATAAATATGATAATTTGCAAGAGTATTGTATTGTAGTTGATTGTGTTGTTCGTTGTGTGTTTTTCCTGTGGTGCTAACTCGGTATTTATAGCTCTTTCAATCCTCTACCATTCTTCTATAGTAAGCATATTCTTGAAGAATAATAATTTCTCTCCTTGGACTCGTAATGCTCATGTCTATAATTTTCCACTTTCTCTAGCATTCTCACTCATTTATTGCAACATAACACATCCCTTTTATTTCTAATTCCACTTAATTATATTAATCCACTTGTTAAACATAGAGGATTTAGCTTCCCACGTCTTTTTTCCCATGTTATCATTTTGTTAAGTGTTATACTAAATTTTTTTATTTGTAAAAACTCTTTTGGGCCTTATTTCTTCCATGGGCTTGTCTAAATTTTTTCTAATGGATTGGGCTTTGTGTGTACTAATAGCTTTCAAGGCTTTATGACTAATGCATCATTGGACTCTAGCCAATCTAACGGGGTAAGTAGGTCCTAATTAAATTTGAATGTAACAATACTACAAAATAGAGACACGAGACAATAGAGACACAAACATTTATATCTTATCCACCTTACCAAACACAAATAAGACTTGTCTCTTACTATCTCAATCCCAGCATATTGTCTCTCTACCAAATGCTACCAAAATATTATTAATAAAATTATTATTATTATTATATACTACCTCAAAAAGATTCAAGGTTCAAGCCTCTCCTCTCTTTTGTGGCCCAAAAAAAAAAAAAAAATTGATTTAAAAAATTATAATTATAAAATTATTAGGTAATAAATAATTTAAAAGTATAACTAATCATTTTTTTTAATGATTTGTTATCATTATCCCATAATTTTATTGTTTTGTTGCTAAATTTATCATTACTTTTTTTCCTTTTGCTTATTTTCATTGATTTGTTATTATTACCTTTTTTTATTGGTAATAATATTTTATTAAAAATAATTTGTTACTTTTAATGACATAATTTGTTTTTATTTATTTATTTTTTTACAAGTATGACATGATTTGTTATTCAATTATGAATACATATATTTTAAGGCATACTCTTTTAAATTTTAGCATATAGTATTTTACTCAATTTAAAATATTCATACTATTTATTTATTTTTCCATGGACTTCGTTTCTTTACAAAACATAATAAAAATAATTAGTTGATTTTCTTTTAAATTTTAAGATAAATATTAGGTGATTATTTTGTTAGTGCTATTTTGTATGTAGTTTGCTATTTTTATTAAATTTATGTTATCACATTATGTCATTTGTCTATTTATAGAAAGAGTGGCATGTAGTTATTAAATTAAAAAAAAATGATAGATTTGTTAGAGTGAAATTTTGAGGATCATCAATATATTAAACGGGTTAAAGGTTTAGGATGTCCTTCTATCGTTTCAAATGTCTTAATCGTATCCCTTTACTAATTTTTTTTAACTATCATATCCCTCTACTCTTAATTATGTCTACATTTGGCCCCTCCGATCACTTTTTTCGAGCAATGAAAACAACTTTTGGCTTAAGAGTGATGGGATGATGACACATGGCATTAATTTTTTTTCCTCTCAATTTGTAACGTCGGTAAAGATTTAAGTCAAATAATTACATCCCAAATGTTTCACATTTGAAGAGCAATACTTGGATTCTACAAAGAAAAAGCACCTGGTTGAATTACATAAGTGGCGGGAGGTAGAGGATGGATTAGAAGATACTACTCGATACATTTTAATGAGGCCCGCTAACTTTAGCTTCAAAAAATAGATATTTCTTTGGGTTCTAACATGTTTTAATTAATTTCTTAATCGTATCCCTTGTCCCTTTATATACCTTCCATGTCTTTCAAGTTCCCTTTGTACTTTGCCCTCACTCTTGGATATTCTAATTCTATTTACTCATCTTGTATAGGGAAGCTTTTGATCCTTCTTAGGAAAACATTGAAGCTTCCCCGAAACAATCTACACTTTAGAAGTTTAGTCATTATTGATATGCTTTTATAGATAGGCAATTCCGTGAAAGTTGAAAAATAGCAAAAATAGCGTTTTACTATGAGGATAACAAAGCAAATGATTACCTTTTTAAGATTATCTTAGTTAGTGACTCGGATGTTGGGAAATCAAATTTGCTAGCAAGATTTGCTAGAAATGAATTCTACCCCAATTCAAAGTCCACAATAGGTGTAGAGTTTCAAGCCCTAAAGCTAGATATTAACGAAAAGGAAATTAAAGCACATATCCGGGACATGACGGACAATGAGTGTTTTCGAGTTGTAGAAGGAAGATAAAATTGGTTATAGTAGAGCTTCCCGCATAAATTAACAAAGAAGAGAAAAACTTATAGGTGGCTCGACAAAAGAAGAAGAAGAAGAAGAAGAACTAAGAGGCTGTGTTCTAACTTTCGATTGTTACTTGAAGGGAGAAAGAGAAAGAAAATTAAAGTTAGGTTAGAATTGGGAAGGAAACATTTGGGATATAAGGGGTTTTTAAATGGGCAATTTGGATTTTTGCTTTTTTGATTTCACTTAAATCGTTACTAGCATTACAAATTGGGAGGGAAAAAAAATTAATATCACATGTCATCCTGTAACTCTTAAGCTGAAAGTTGTCTTCGTTGCCTAAAAAAGTGATCGAAGGGACTAAATACGGATGCAATTGAGAGTAGAAGGACATGATAGTTGAAAAATTTAGTAGAAAGACATGATTAAGAAATTTAAAACGGTAGAAGAACATACTAGACTTTTAACCTTATAAGAACCACTTTCATCCAATGCAACACTACTACCACTATAACTACCTTCACCGATATAATTACTATCATAACTATTGCCAATCCACTACTCTTATCGCCATTATTACCATTATTATTTTTTACATTGCCGTTTCTCTCGTCTAATTGCCATTACTCTACAACTATTAATGAAAATAAGATTTTATTTTTATAGGAAAATGTTTTTCTTAACATATTAAAAAATTAAAAGTAACTCATTTTTCAAAAAAAAAAAAAATCCTCTAATTAATATATTTTTTAAAAATTACTTTTAATGAATTTAAGTTAACATGATTCATTCTTTTTTGTTGTCTTTTTTATTTTTTTTAACTAACATGTTTTTACTTTTTTTTTCCTTATTGAATTTACAATATTTCTCTTAAAACAAACAATTTATTTTTATTTTACACACACACACACATATGTCCTATTTAACCATGGCTTCTCTTGTTAAGAAGTTAGGTTTTTGGCTGCATGTATTCAACTCTTGGTTCATATAACAAACACTTTATATTCATTACTTATTTAATAGAGTTAATCACATGCTCTATACAAATAAAACTAAAACTGAATGTTAAAATACTGTATATGTATTGTTTTTTCTATTCTGTAATATTATTGTTATTCCAAATTATTTTCAAATATTTCATATATAAGTTTTTACAAATGTTATGATTTAGTCTATGAGTTTAAACTTCATTTGAATTATGGTTCGATCTCTAGATATAAAAAGTAGAAAAAAAAGCTTAAAAAGTGATGAGAACCATTCCAATTATTTTGATTTTTGATTTTATCTTCAATTTCTTCATTTTTAAGAAGAAAGTTTTTTTTTTTAATAGTGGTCAAAAATCATAAAATTATTAGAAAAAATAAATCGGGACCTTCAAATATTTGGATTGTTTATTATTTTAATTTTTGTATCTTTTACGTTTATTAAAATGACTTTTGACTCTAAATATATATTTTTGACCTTATTTTTATTTTTTATGGTGTGTTGGGATAAAAATCATGATAAAATTAGGTTGAAAAGACCAAGAACAGAGAAAACTTGATTTTTTGACCGCATTTAAAACAAGGTAACGGCATGCTGTAGAATTAGCCAGAATAGCCAGAAACGTAACTTTTTAACGAGAGAAGAGAGGGTTAAATAGGAATATACATATATACATATATATATATATATATATATATATGTTTCAAGGACGACGCATTCTTGTTTCTGGGTTTTAGGTTTTATTGGGGGGTTTTGGTGTGTCAAAGGTCCTCCAACTCCGTATCTTCTCTGCAATACAATAAAGATTGGATTGCAATCCTTGAGCTGCTGGTGTATCAAATCTTTTTAAGCTGTTTTCTCTATTTCTGTCAATAATCAAATAAGAGTCTCAAAATTTTCAGTTTGAATTCTCTTGTCATAATTGGCTTTGGGATATAAATTTCTATAGAGTTTGATTTCTGCCTCTAGCCTACTCTTGATTATTCCATAGAAACTTCTAGTTGTATCTGTGCATGGAAACTGAGGTAAACAGTTAAAGGAAAGGAAAGAAAGAGAGAAGGCTATGAAAGAACAGTTGTCGTAAGAAGAAAGATAGAGGGAGGACGACATGTCATTATTGAAGGTCACAAAATCGTACAACTCACTCTGCCTGTCCAAGCTAAAACCCAAGATTTAGTTAGCCAAAAGTCCTTTTGGAAAACGGAAAACCTATTACTATAATTTATTATTATTTTTTTTTAAGCAAAGGATGAAGAAGAAGTGTGTTATCTAATTTAGATAGATCATTCTCAATCCAATGGAAGAGACTCCTCTTTTCACTTTCTCTTCGCACCGCAAATCGCATCTCAAAAGTCGAACTTATGGAACTCTCATTCGAATTTTATCACAACCTCAGCTTTCTCAATTTGTTACTCCGCCACCAGGTATTTTAATTTTCAATTTCAATTTTATGAATGTATGTATGTATATTTATTACTGTTGGTGTTAATAATAATATACACTGTATTTTTCTTTAAGATAATGATGGTGATGGGCGGTGGGATGTCTTGGAAAACCAAGCATGTAGTAGGCATTTAGAGTTCTGTCATGAAAGTTTGCCGGACAAAAATGGCCCAGAAAGAGGGTTTAGGGATACGCAAGTGGTTATTGATGAGATAGAGAATATAATGAGAATAGAAGAAGATGAGGACTTGGTGGTTGACCATACTGCTTGTGGAACTGGTTTACAAGATAGAGATTTAATTCAGGCGCAACATTTGTTAATTGATGAGTTAAAGCATGTCATGAAAGGAAACGAGGAGCTTGTTTGTCATAACAATTCTGGTCCTGTGACTAACCGGAGCCAGAATGCTGGTGACATTGTTGCTGTTTCAAATAACCAAGATGAACATTTTAAACTTGATTCAATTGTTATCGAAGAATGCATCGGTGAGGGTCTGCTACAACTTGATGAAGAAGCCCAATGTCAAAATAATAATACAAGCAGTGAAGTTTCAAAACCAGTTGAAAATTTTGAAGAAAGTTCATTATCGAGGACTAATGGATTGGAAGTAAATAATGAAATGCAAAAGAAAGAGGTACAATTGGACAAATCAGTGTGTGCAGATGCCACAATGGGTTATCCCACTCACACGATTGAATATGGTGAGATAGAAGAGGGAGAAGTTTCTGGTGAGTTTGAGGTGGATGATGGATCAGTCGACGTGTTTCCTGAGGATGTTGTATTGCCACAGGAAAAGAAAGTTGATGAGAAGCAAGCTTCTGAAGATATTATTGATAAAAACAGGTTCCCTTTTAAGGAAAAAATTGAAGCAAACAAAAACAACTCTAGGTTCTCTTCTTTTATTGCGGACACAGTTGAAAATGCCAAAGATAGAAGAGAAGTGGAAGCCCAACAACGTTCATCAAGTGAAATGGCATGCAAACGGAAAGTTGTAACTTATGAAGATCCTATATTAGCTGAAGAGGGTGTCTGGTGTAAGAAACAAAAGAAATGTCGTGCAGCAAGGGAGCAGAATGAAGGGAGTGCAGCAAAAGAACAAAAAAGAGACAGCGGAGTTAAGGAACAAGAGAAAGGTAATGTTGCCAATGATGGTGTTGGCTGCCCAGTGGCTTGTCCTAATAATCTGGCATTGTTCACGGAAAAGTCAGATCAAACTGCATCTGCAAACCAAGAAATTGCATCGAAAGAAAAGGTATAATTATTCTCCTGGTTTTGTTTTGCTTTCTGCTACTATAGTTGTTTATTTCATTAGCAAAGTGAATTGTAGTGATCAAGCATGGTGTCTTGGAGTATTGATTTTGAAAAAGAACATCCTCATTTTTTTTCTCCTAGATATTTGGTTGGGATTATACTTTAAAATTATATGCACAGCGTTCTTCCTACAATTTGCTGGGGGTTGGATCCTGGATTTTCTGCCTCCTTTATATCTTTGGCAATGTTACTATGACACTGGAATTGCTATGTCTAGATCAACTGATTTATAAATTTCTGGAATTTGAGGGTAGTGCACCATTATGACACTGGAATAGCTATGTCTAGATCAACTGATTTATAAATTTCTGGAATTTGAGGGTAGTGTACCAAAACCAGAAAGTTAATTCTGGCACTTTTCTGCTCTACTTCCCTCCTCTTCTCTCTGTGCACTCTCTCATAAATACATGCCCCCCAGTGCTTTCTGAATGAATATCTGTCCAGATTTTAACCCATTATGTTTTTTGGTTGTTTCCTACAGGATGCTGGTCTATGCAATAAGAAAAAGCGGGGTCCTCCTTCTAAGGAAAAGAAAGCAAAGAAGAAGGTTTTGATTTGTCCTTCCTTTTTTTTTTTCCTTCTTTTTTCTGGTGTTTGGTTGGATTCTTTTTCCTTTTAGCAAATTTTTTTTTTTCAGTTATCTCTGTATTCCTCCATCTGAAAATTTAATCTCTACCAAAGTGTAACTTTGTTGTCCCTAAAATGTATAACTTTTATTCATCATTTTAATGTTATTTTGCAGCAAAAAGAACGAAAAAAGCGGGCAGAAAAAAACAGACAACTTGGTGTTAAAAGGATGAAGTTACATCCTGTGCTGAATCGAAAACCTGTATCACCCTGCCGTCATTACCTCAAGGGGAGATGCCGGGAGGTATGTGTCTTCTCAATTTTTATAATCTGGTATATCTTTATTTTGATTTCTGAACTGCTTCAAAGACTCAACTACTTCTGTCATGCAGCAAAGGAGCTTTAGTTAAAAAAAAAAAAAAAAAAAAAATCAACTGAAAAATTGGTCTTTATGGGTTAATATTCTGGGTTTTATTTTTTTATTTTATTTTTTATGAATTCAAATGTAGACAACTTCAATTAAAATGGTTACCTTTATCTCTTGTTATAGTTGGCCTTCGTCAAGTACAACTGTTTAGCATATTTGAGTTTTAACAACTTAGCCTTCAGTGGTTTTTTTATTTTTATTTTTCCTGCAAAAACGATTCTGTTTTCTTCCAAATTCCTCTTTTTGTAACCTTTCCCCTGGCAGTTTTTTTTTTTTTCGCCAGAGTATCTTTCCTGGTTGTGAAAAGAGAGGGACTGCTTTTATTTCCTTTTTCTACTTTCTTGGTTTCCTGCTGAACACAAGAAATACATCCGTGTTTCATCAGCTTCTCTCTACTTTAATAGACCTTAAGGTGAAGTATCTAAATTGATAGCACTACCAAATTGTGTCCAATTTTATGTTGCACTTGGAAGTAGTGTACTTTTTGTCAACAGTGGTATATTGTTTGGTGATTAGTATTCTGCTTTTATCTGGTTTTAGTTTTATAGCCTGCTACTTGTCATTAAAATATTTCTTTTTTATTTGACAGGGTGAAAAGTGCAAATTTTCCCATGATACAATACCTCTGACAAAATTTGAGGTACAATCTTTTAAATTGGTACCTTATTTTGTACTTCCAGTTATGAAATCTCTTTTGCCTACTAGTTTGGAAAACCACATTAATATGAACATTAACATGTGGCACACTCTGCCCATGGAAGTTGTTCTCCTCCAGTCAACTAGAAAGTGGACTGAAGCTTGGCTACAAATTTGTCCTTCTGACTGGCCTTGAACAAATCTCATGCCAGAACTCATATACTGATTTTTATCTCTTTATCTTGGATTTAAGAAATGAATGAACTGCTGTGACTGTCCAACCTGTATAATGATGTGCTTTGCTTTCTTAGCCCCAAAAGCCCAACAACACCTCAGTTGGTTAAGTGAAATTCAGGTGTGGGATGCTTGTGGGGCCTACACAGGTCCCACACCCAATTGTCAAATTCTTCCACAGTTAAAACCAGACACATTTGATCTTCACTGCTGTAGAAAAGAGAGAAAGTAGCAAGTAACTGAGGTTCAATCTTGAGAAGGATCCTTCAAAAGAAGCACTTATGCAAATTATCTGGCCAGCAATTCATTTTCTCCTATCCAGCCACCTGTTGCTAAATCATAGACTTAGTTTTATTAGCTATATTTCCTAATTAATTGACTTGGTAAGTTTGTTGTTGCTGTTGACATTTTCTATCATCTAAGCATGTCTTGTCGTGCATTCTGGTTTTGCAGCCATGCCATCATTTTGCACGTCACAAATGCATGAAAGGGGACAATTGTCCATATGATCATCAGCTCTCCAAGTACCCTTGTACAAAGTATGTATCAGAAGGTCATTGCATCAGGGGTGAGAGTTGTATGTTTTCACACAAGGTACCTTCTTGCCCTTGCAAAATCTTTTCCTTTTCAGCCACTTTCATCTTTATGGTGTCACGCACACATACCTTTGGTTGTAACATTTGTTGAGGTTAGTTTCTAATTGCTATCATTGATTCAGTTTCCACTTCAGGAAGATCCTTTATCTTCTTCAAATGTTTGCACTCCTAATGCGAAGCCTCCATCTTTGCCAAGCACTTCAAACTCTAAGAGGCAACTAGATATTAGTGGAACTTCCAACCAGACTGCCAAAGCCGTGCCTGATTCCACAGGAGTTATTTCTGATAGATGTGCTGCACTAAATATGGCAAAGACTGTACAGAATCTGCCTGCACTGGTGCCCAAAGGTATTAACTTTCTTTCTGGTGGGAAGTCATCAATGGTTGAATCCAATCCTAAACCAAGCAGCCCATTGTTGAAGGGTAACGAGTTTGTCAAAGTTGGAAACCAGATAGATCAATGTGCATCGGTCGCAGTTCAAAATTGCAATGAGATTCCAAAGAAAATTCCTCCAGCTGTTGCACCAAAGGGGATAAATTTCCTTTCATTTGGCAAAGCTCCATTGGATAAATGTTCTAGTATGAAATTAACAAGCTGGGCTATTAATCAGGGAAATAGCGTCAATTTATTTTCGTCCAAAAATTTTGTTGTGCATGAAGAAGCGTGCTCATCTCCAAATAAGGATAAGAGCATCCTAGCTGGCAAAGAGGTACACGAAAGTATGTCAAATATTGTGCATAGGTTTAATAAGATGCTGCAGAAAACTGAACCTGCAGCATTTCGAGATCCTTCAACAGATAGTTCTAGGAGAAATCCACAGGCTAGCTTGCCTTTGAGTTCTGGCAGTGGTGTTCATATGTCTGTTCAAGAAAGTGAAATTGCATCCAATAAACATCAAGAGTCGAGTGCACTCCTGGGGAGGCTGGCAGCTTCCCCACTTTTTTCAGGTCAATCTTCTGATCGGTTGGCACATGCATGCTTGAAAAATACACCAATCTCTGCTCAGAAGGCACTAATGTCAACACTGGCATTTGCTGAAAAAGTTGAATCTGTAATGAAGATGAATCAGTCCAGAGGTGCTTTTGCTGTCAATAACGTGGTCAGCAAGGAAAACAGGTGTAGTACTACTCCTAGAGGTTTACAGATTGACTCAGAAAAGGCATCAAAAGTTTTGAATTTCCTGTCTGGTATTGGTAGTGAAACAAAGCAGTAACTTGTTATCGCCAACCATATACCAGTACCACTGAGAACATAACATGGCAGACTGGGAAGTGGACCTAATTCGAAAGCATTTGGCAGTCGAACACATTGCGAAGGCCATGCTCTGTCATTTATTGGCAATTTGAACGTCTCCTGGCTGTCCCTGCTATTCACCAGAGGCTGACTGCTGGAAAGTTTGTGATGTAGGTGAATATCGATGGCTACATTTTTAAAGTCGATGAGGCAAACAATTTCAGTCTGTTCCTGACTTTTGTTACTTATTTCTTGGAAGCACACATTCCCATGACTGGGCAGACAAGAAGCTTGATGGATTACTCTGTTTTGCTGCACCCTGGCTTATGTATGGAGGGAGGTCTGGATCCTGTGAAAAGTAATATAGAATCTGTCATTGCAAATTATCAACAATCAATAAATAAAATTAAAGTGCCAGTGCTTTTATAATTTTTTATAATAAGCAAAGTCATTCTTTCAAATTTCTTCCTTCCTGAACATGAATACAAAGTTTCAAACTTCAGGGCGTTATTAATAAGCCTTTTTTGGTCTTCTGTTGGTCTTAAATTGGGGCTGCCATGACGCTTCTGCCATGCATGGGAGCCAATCATAGTTCTGGAACCCAATCCATGAAGAACAGGAGAACACGATAATGACACTATGTTGTTAATTTCAACATCAAAAACAGGAAAAAAAAAAAAAAAGTCTCTGTCTCTGATATCTTGCAAATTTCTGAAATAAAACTGAAAAACATAGAATGACAACTTCAGTGAAGAACAACTTCTTGCTTCCTTCACTCTTCAAATCTCCAACAAGTTCTCATCAGCAGAAACGATGCTGGAGTACAAGAAAAGAACCACTCAAATGAAGTGGCAGCTCCATCATTATGTTGGACCACCTTTAAAAGCAATGCAGAGAGTAGTAATAATAATATGGAGTTTGAAAACGAAAAACCAATAGTATCGATCACAATTGGAGAAGGAAAAGAGTCTCCTGGTCTCACTATTCTTTTACAAGCTGTTATTGCTGATGCCCGTTTTATTGTTCACGGTTTTGCGCCTCAATCGTTGGTTCCTTATTCTTTACTGTTCTTTTTTCTCCCCTTCTTTCCGCTTGGTTTATGAGAAAATGCAGCCAAGAAAATGTTAAAACATTTGGTTTAGTAAACAGTATTGTTAAAATAGTATTCTCTTTCTTTTTTGTGTGATGTCCACTCGAGAGAAGTCAAACCTTGTGGAGGCTCAAATACACAAGTAAGAAACAAATAGTCCTAGACCCAAACAACCAAGCTATAAGCCAGCCTTAAATTGACTCCAAATAGACCTCAAATAACCCACAATCAAAGACCAAAGCACCATCAACAAATTCCTCAAACAAGTAAAAACGAAATCACACAAACTCCAAACAAACAATCACAAGATGATCTCCAACAAAATCAACTCAAAATTAAATAAAACTTTTACACAATCTAGATACTACTCGAGTATATGTATGTTAAATTTTAGATTAATCTAAACCATGTAGTTCCCTTTTTTAACAAGTCAAAATTCTAGACTCGAATAGCTTTCAGAATCACATCAACGTTCGACCCAAAAACACACTCAAATATTTTTATAATTTTTTGATTTTTTTACAGGAGCTAAATCAACTCCTTAGCTAACTACTTTCAAAATTTTAGATCAAACTAAAATTCCTAGCCTTAGTTATCAGCTTTGAAATCAAATATATTCAGTTTTCAAACTATAATCCGCCCATAATTTGTCAAGCAAACATAAAAATAAAAGCTTGTCCCATTGTGTTATCCTTAAAAGTAAAAATCTACTCAAGTTTATTTAGAGACGCAAAAGTTGTAGAGAAAAAATCTCAATTTTTTGTTCAAATATTCATCAATTTCTATGGAAAAAGAAGCACAAAGTGTGCTTAAATAGTCACCCTTTAAAGCCTAAAAGAGTCGGTTAGGTTGAACTTTCTCTTCCTTGGCGATCGACCTCTTTCTAACTGGACTCTTTTCCTAATTTGATTTGCATTTGTGCTACCCATTTTCAATTAGAAATTTATTAATTTAGCTTAATTAAATATAGAAAAACGTATTATATGGACTCAAAATAATCAAGGTCTCCCTAACAAAGAACGATCCATAATATGCAAGGATCAAATAATCCACCTAGGTCACATTTGGCAATGTCATAAACAATATAGAAAGTCTAAAACTTGTGAGGACTAATTAGTTAGCCTAAATTCATTCAATTAAAAATAACCCAAATAAATAAAAGACAACCCAAATAAATAAAAGACAACAAAATAGATAGGATAGGGTTCAAAATTTTCAGCCACTATGGAGTGCCAAAATTTCGACCAAGTGGAAAGGGTGGATGCTCTAGTATCATACTCGCCACGTTGAAGAAGAGTGAACCTCGACGTCATGGTCCTTATCTTCTTCTCCAAAATTCAATAAAAGGTCTTCCTCTTTGAAGGTCATTGAGACTAGATAATCTTTAGGTGGATCTATCTTGTAGGCATGATCACCCAATCTTTTGACAACTCAAAATGGTCCCTCAATATCTTTAAATTTAACAAACCTTTCCTTTAATACTTGTTTCTTCTTAACCTTTAACCATACTAGGTATCCTTCACTATAATTTGCCTTGTTTCAAATTTAGAGATTTCAACCCATGACTTCTCTTTACTTGTATTTCCATCAATATTTGCATCAATCTTCAAATTGGCAAAGTCGGCAACTTTGGCTTGATCCTCTAGCCTACTTTCACTTTGTCCAATAGCAACTCTTCCTATGGTGACAACCTTAAAACTATTGTAGTTGTGCTTGACGAGTAGCACCATTACCTTTCCTTTTGAGTTTGTCAATATCAATAAGTAAGTTTTCATGATTCACAAGGACAACAACCTCTTTGTTTGTTCCTCCTTCTTGGATAGCCCTTAAGTAACTCTTATTTCCCTCAACAACATTCATGTTAACCCTATAAATCATGGCAGCATCATCAACACTACTAATGGCAACAACTTGGTTAAGACAATCGACAATAATCCCCATCAACAACAATCACACCATCTATGGCATTCACATTAACATCCTCCAAGCATATCACTATACTTACCTCTAGCATATTTCATTCCATCCTCAAGCATCTCATCATGCTTCCCCTTATCATGATGTATGATAAATGTTTTCTCATCTAGTGTAATATTAATAACATATAAAGCATCTAAATCATCATCATATACACCATATCTAAGAGTAACATTCAAATCAAGCACAATCCTCTATTCTACTAGCCTTAGCATACTAAAAAATATTATTGTGATTAAACTTGTACAACTTTTTTGAATCAGAATCATGATTTTTTGGATATGACTTATCAAGATAGAAATTCGATGAGCTAGTCATACTCTCTTTTCCTCTTTGACCTCTATTCTAGCCATGAGTTTTCTTCTTTTGGATGCAAAGTGATCAAATAATGCTCCATGATAAACTTGTGAGTATTAAGATATCCATCATGTATAACCCTTTAATCAAATTAGCATGGTCTCTCTAATATTATGTGAAATGTATCCATTTGCATCATATCAAATGACACTTCATTTGCATAGCACCTCTTAATAGTGAACCTCACTAAGCATTGTTTGTCCACCAATTGTTTATTCCCCTTAACCATCCATGTCATCATATAAAGCTTTAGATGTTTGATCGTAGCCAATCTCAACTCATACACCATCTTACTAAATATCACATTAGTATATGCCTTATTATTAATGATGCCATTCAACACCGACCCCTTAACCTTGACATCAACATGAAAGATACTCGTTCTCTTTCACTCATCATTGCCAAAGTTAGGTTCACATGCTTTATCCAAAATTAATAGCTCTCCTACATTAGCCTTAACTACTTCTAAGCTTTTGGCTTCTTGCTCCTCATCACCCTCAACCTTTGGCCCAACTTCCTCAAGTTCCTCCTTATCTTCAGACCTCCTCAATCAAGATAATAACCCTTCTATTAGGAAATTTCAAAGGTATGTGCCCCTAACCTAAATAGTTAAAACATTAGATTGGTCTCGAGTTTGGACTCGTGGGTTTTGGTTTGACAATACCTCTAGTTATGGTTTTTTCTCCAAACCGAACCCCTCTAGGGTTAGTTGTAGTGCTCCTAGCTGTACCACTTGCACTAGTAGTTGCCTCTCTATTGCTTGTCAATTTATCACTCCACCTAGACACCTTATGATGCCTCTCCATCTTTTCAGCTAGCTTGATAATATTCCTTAAGGTATGGTATTGTTGTAGTTGTACAACATGAGCAATATATGATCTCAATCTACCAATAAGTTCGATCATAATACACTCATCGACTTCATTGATGTCATATATAAGCATTAGTTGCTCAAATTCAATGACATTGTCCTCAACACTCATGATGCCCTATTTTAAGTTATAAAATCAAAGAAAAGTATCTACTAATAAATTAGGTCATAGTATACTCATTGGCTTCATTGATGTCACATCTAAGCATTAGTTGCTCAAATTCGGTGACATTGTCTTCAACACTCATGGTGCCCTGTTTTAAGTTATAAAATCAAAGAAAAGTATCTTCTCTATAAAATTCGGACGAGAATTTAGATTTTGATTCCTTCCTCATCTTCTTCTCCAATGTAGAGATTTTATCATTTTCCTCATGTGTTTTAGGTTCTCCCACTATAATGTGACATTTTTTTTTTATCAATTTGATGGTAACAAGTTTAACCTTTTTTTTTTTTTGCACATCATGGAATTCAAATACTTTCTTCACCATATACAGACTACTCAATAAACACACCCGAGTTTAGTTTTCTTTCAAATTTAGGGACCTCAAACTTGACTTCATAATCATGGAACCCTTGCGGCTCCTTATGTCTTCTACCAATTTGGGAAGCTACTTCCTCTTATTTAGAATATTTGGCACTCACATCTTAGAAAGGATTCTCTTCAGAAGCCCCTCGAAACTCCCTCTTGATCCATTGATTCATGCCTCTCTTCGGGCACATGACTTATCTTCAATTATTTATTTCTACGTTGAAGCTCGACGTTGGCTTGTTCAAATCCTTCAATTGCTATTTGCATATCATATATGGTCATTTGGTCAATGATTGCTCTTTTTGGCAAGCATCTTTCTATTCAGCCAATATAGAATGAGAAGCAAACATCGGCTCCGATACCAAACTGATTTAGATTAAGAGATGTCAAGCCTCGTGGAAGATCAAACACATAAACAATAGACAAATAGCCCTAGGTTGAAATACGCAAGCTATAAACTAGCCTCTAATTGACTTCAAATAGACCTCAAACAACCAATAATCAAAAGCCAATACAAAATCAACAAACTCTTCAACATAAACATGAACGAAATCACGTAAACTCCAAACAAACAATAACAAGATCCGAATATAAGGAAGGGGAGATCTCTAACCAAATCAGCTCAAAATTAAATGAAAATTTTGCATAACCTAGATACTACCTAGAAGTATGTATATGTAAAATTTTAGATCAATCTAAACAATGTAACAACTTTTTCTAATAAGTTGAAATTCTAGGCAAAATAGGTTTCGGAATTTACGTCAATTTTCTCAATCTAGAAGCACATTCAAATATATATATATTTTTAATTTTTTAATTTTTTTTTTTACAATAGCTAAATCAACCTTTTAATTAACTAATATCAAAATTTTAGGTAAAATTAAAATCTCTAGCCTTGGTTATCAGTTTTTCAATCAAATCTGTTTAGTCTTGAAAGCCTAATCTGCCACAAAATTTATCGAGCAAACATAAAGATAAAAGCAAGCTCTAATGTCTCATACTTGAAAAGTAAACTCTACTCAAGTTGATTAAGAGAGTACTTATGGGGTACATTCGTCAAGAGTCCATCCGATACATTTGCTAATCTAAGCCCACCTTAGTCGATCACTCTAAGGATGTGTTCTCGACTTCCTAACCAGATCCAAGCAAAAGAGATACACAAAAGTTGTAGAGAGAAAATCTCAATTTTTATTCAAATATTCATCAAAGTCTAACTGAAAAAGTAGCACAAAGTGTGCTTAACCCCTAAAAGCCTAAAAGAGTCAACTAGCTTGAGCTTTCTCTTCCTTGGCCAATTATAACTCTTTCCCTAATTAAGATTCTTTCCTAATTTGGGTTGGATTTATGCCTTCCATTGTCAATTAGAACTTTATTAATTCAGCCTAATTAAATCTGGATCAGCATATTATATGGACTTAAAATAATTAATTTTTTTCTAACAAATAAGAATCCATAATATACAAAGATCAAATAATCCACCTAGGCCACATTTAGCCATTCCCAACCAATTAAAATACAACCCAAATAAATAAAAGACAACAAAATAAATAGGATAGGGGCTGAAAGTTTGGACCATTATGGAGTGCCAAATTTTGAGTCAAATGGAAGGATGGATAGATCATTGTCCGGTCACTCGGTGACAATCAAGTAGACGATGCTATCGCCTCTTCGAGTTGAAATTAAATGGTGTATTGCTTTTGAAATTTTTAGTAATGAGATACTACTGGAATTAAAATGAGAATTTTTTTTCATACAATTAAATCCTGTAATTTTCATTAATATGCTTAATTTATGTTGGTTTTTGTTTTTGTTTTATTTATTTATTTTCAGGGACTCCTTCATATTGTATTTCTTTAGCTTTACCAGGGGCAATGTTTCCATGGTCTAAGCTCATTTCGGTATGCCGATAAATCTGTGACTTCTTTTTTGAGAGCTTATTCAACCTATAAATCTTGATGTTAATTGTTTTCTTACTTTCCTTCACTCTTAATACAGTAATTAGTGGAAATAAACAGGGGATCAAGTTGTGGTCACAACAAGTGAGTAATCTGTTATTAACCACAGCCTTGCTCTATTTGTAGATGCCAAATCATCTCTTGAAACACATCAGTTGAAATCATGTTGATCTTAGTCTATTATGGTTACGATTATCAAATGATTAAATCCATCCAGCTTTAATGTCAAATTCTTCTCTTTTAGCCATTGCTTGATTGCTTTGAATTTTAATAAACTGCTCCTGATTCTAGGTTCTACTCATGCGCATCTGCTGTTGCTAGAGAGGCATTAATTTGTGGCATACCATCTCTTTGCATATCTTTTAACTGGTAATTGGATTTTCCATTTTATTTAAGAATCTTTCATTTGACTTGTTTGTCTAGTATTTTCTTTCTCGATCAGCACCTTTTAGTTCCTTTTTCTTTTCGCAGGAAGAAGGGAGTGAGCTCCGAAAGTGATTAGAAGGAAGCAGCCAATGTTTGTTTGACATTAATATATGCTGCAGTAGAAGATGTTAAGAAGGGAACTTTCCCCAAAAGTTGCTAATTGAACATTGAAGTTTCCAACTTATCCCCTGGCAAACAAGGTTTGGTTTTCTTTAGTGTTTTAATTTGACACTTTGTCCATGGGATTGATTGAAAATGAAAACGTGGTTTCGCAAGGATCTTCTGGTGTTTCACCCTCTGTCTTTAACCTGGAAACAAATGAAAATCTGATTCAAATGCCAAATGTAATTTTGAGAGAATTGTCCCATATTCTGGAGATTGTGCTTTTGGTTTTGCTACCCTTTTCAAAACCAAATGAACATTTTCATTTTTTAGCCAATTATTGGGTTATGATTCTGAATTTGGGCTCGTTGCAATGAAGAATTCATTTTCATGGAGTGCAAACTCCACGCAAGAAAAAACTACATAAGAGTTGTAGCTGTTTGACTGACAAAACTTCCTTGTGATTGATTTGACCAGTCAGAACAACCATGGAAGTGTACTTGTGCACCCTTTTAGCGTTCTAAGTGGAAATTTATCATTATACTGTTCTACACGCATATATGTATTTGCAACTTTACGAATTAGTCAACCTCGGTTGATGATGTGCGCTATGATGGGGTCTTTTTATGGTCGGTGAAAGTTTAGATCTTGTTGGCCGATAGAGATTACTTTGACTGTTGTGAGCAAACCATAGTTTTAAATATGCGACATGGTTCCAATAACGATAACAAATTATAATAATAAATGTGAATTTTAATATTTAAAATATAATAATCATGGTTATTATTGTTTTGAATTATTTAGTAATTTGTAACAAGTTTTTATAATACATGCTAATCTGATTATTTTTTTTAAATAAACATAATAATAACATTTTTTTATATTTATATATATACCATTACAATTCAATAATAGTTGCACTACTAAAAATTAAATTGTAATTGAATTTAAGTTTCAATTACTTTTCATAAAATGTTATAATAACATTATTATTTAGTTATTGATTGCTAGAGCGAAATAAATATTGGTTTTTTTTTTGTACACTAAAAAAAGTAAAAATGTTATTAAATTTTTTAAATTATACAATATAAGTAAAAAAAATATTCAAAAACTAGACCCAATATAACTTAAAAACATATAAAAAAGTAAGTGCAACTAAAATTATATATATAAAAAATAGGTTCAATAAAAATTATATCACAAGGACAATTTAAAAATACAAACCCAAATATATAAAATAGGCCCAACATTTATATCACTACGACCATTTAAAAATATAGACCTAAGTACATAAAATAGGCCCAGCAGTCTTCCTAGGTTTTTCGGTTTTAAGTGAATCGATGGTATGTCTAAACCCAAAATATGTTTATGTCGCCTTCTTCTCTGTCTATTCTTCTTCGTCATACTCATTTTTCTTTTTTATCTGTGGCACCAGTTCTCCTTTATTCTTTCATTTTTTATCCTTTCTATGTTAGAGACAACATCCTTTTATTTTCCCTTCTCAAAACCGATTGTCCCTCCCCAATTTTTTTCTTTACATTTCAATTAAATCTAACTGAAGATTGAAACACAGATATGAGCATTAATGGAAGATAGTTTTCTTCTAAAAAAATAGATATAACGACTACTAACATTATATAATGGTATAATGGCCACTATACATATGAATCTTTTATATTTCATTATAATGCAAAAAAAAAAAAAAAAAATCTACAATAGATGTTTTTTAAAACTATGGAGTAAACAATTATTGTACCTACAAAACAAATCTCTTCTTTTGTATAAGAGAATCCTTTGATAGATAAAGGAGTGGAATTTGAACAGTCTAACATGTCGGGGTAAGAAAATAGAAAAGACTACTCTACAAAACAATTATTGTACCAGCAAAACAAATCTCTTCATTGGTTCCTAAGGTAGCTAAATTCCAGGAAGAATTGACTCATTTAAGAGGAGTGGAATTTTTGTAGGAGTATAGGTTCTTAGTGATGAGCATCATGGTTTGCATAGCATGCAAGAGGATGGCACACGGACGCACTTAGGTCCATAACAAGAGTTCATTAGTGAGTTTTAAGTCAACCTTGATCTTGTTTTGAAGTCTAA